TCCGTTTACAAAAGAAGAAACGGTCGGCGTGTCGTCGTCGTCGGAGAACACATCCGGACGCCGGCGAAAATGCGCGCGACGCGTACGAAAAAACGTTCGATCGGAGTACGCGCGAACACGCGACCGCAATCAATCGCGTGCGCAACGTTGTCGTTACCGCGTGGATATTTCTTTTCTTTTCTTTTTTTCTTTTCTTTCTTTTCCCTCCCCACCCCCCACGCCTCCACCCACCGTTTCCGTCGTGAAACAACCCGCTGCACCGACCGCCCGTCGTAACCGCCGATACCGTTTCGCGCGCGGTACACGGTACACGCGTATGCATAGGTACGCACCCGGCTCTAACGAATCGAAATCGCGCACAACGGCCCGGGTACCCGGGGTAGGTGCACGCGTACGGTGATTTTTTTTTTTTCCGCGCCCGCGTTTTGCATAAGAATTTAATTTGAACGTTGTTTTTTTTTTTTTCAAACCCTCCCCCCCCCCTTCTTTATCCCGTCTACGTTCGAAACGGGTCGGGGACCCCGTCGAATCTCGCGTGCAGGGTCACGCGGCTTTCACGTTATTTTAATATCGGCTCATCGCTGCTGCTTGTATCCGGGTTTACAACGGAAACACAAACAGTATCGACGAATATCGTTGCGTTTTGCGCGTTCTCCGCGATTGACCCGCGCAACGACGGTTTTCGGTGTCGGTTCTCGCGACTCTCGTGCGTTTGCCCGTCGCCAGTGGGCGGATGCGACGTCGCGGGCAAAACAGGAGAATTCGCCCGGGGCGGCGATTTCAGGCCAATGTTGAATTGTTGAGAATACTAGGTTTTTTTTTTTTTTTTTAGATTTTGTAATGTAATTTTTGTCATTCACTACGGCGGTTGTCGAACGGAACCCGTAATATTATATTGTAATGCATTTTCACAATCCACGAGTTAATTCAATTTTATAAATATGCGCCGAGTGTTGGTTACCGCGCACCACGTGTACAAAAATAAAACTTTTTTCCACCCGAAAGATAAAATAATATTGTAGTAATTGTTCAATGTACATAATCAATTATTTTCAACACGACATTTTCAAGTATCCGGTCCATACGATTTAGTTTTATTCAGTAGTTATGTCAAATAAGTACTTACAAATACGTTTTCTCATTGATGAGTTTAATGGGGTTTAATAAAATAAAATTTGCTTTTTTTTTTTATAGCTTGACACCCCCTCCCATTTAATGTATCCAGACGGACGCAATTGTGTATACTATATAATGTAAGCGTGTCGATAATGTGACGCCTATACTTTCGGGGGTTTCCACCCGGCCATTTTTACGATCGAACGGAAACGCCGGGTTTTCGATATCCCTAAAACATACCCAGTCTAGAAGAATAATTAAAAAAAGAAATTTTTTTTTTTAGAAAAATGAAATGTTGTAACGGCAAAAAATCGCCGGAGGGAAAATTCGACTGTATTGTACATTATATAGTGGTGGAGCTTTGCCGTTCACGAGTGTTTTTAGATTTATTTTCTACAGTGTGGCTCGATCTGTATTGTATAGCGGTGTAGACAAAAATATTATTACCGTGTTTATCCCCCCGGTCGTTAACGCGGATTTATCCGACGCAAAATGTGTTTTACTATTATTTTATCTTTTGTTTTTATCAAAGATTTAAATCGAATACTAGAAATGTTGTATGGCTCGTAAAAGAACGAGTGTTTGCACGGTACATAAATCTAATATTTGCGTAGAACTCGTCGGAGGAATCGATTGTTTTTTGTTTTTCTTTTTTTTCCCCGTTTCGTTTTTCGTCCGACGGCAGCCGAATAAATTGTTGTTTATTTTCCGCAGACTTGCCGATTTGCCGAAGGGCTAATAATAATCGTTCGTTTTCGTATGTATACGTCGCGTCGGGTACCGAGCGCATCATAATATTTTCTCCGGAGTTTACGTTAACGCGATTTAACTGTGTACACCGGGCAACAACGCACAGTACGGTTGACGGAGAAATTTACCGATTCCGTTTCACGGCGAACATATTATTCGATTTTACGTTTTTCGGCGCGTTTCGGAGAATGAAAAACGATTTAACGATTCGTGAAACAGACTCGGCCACAATGTACATAGACATCGTTATTTTGACGCGCCGATTTTTTTTTTTTTTTTTTTTTTTTTCAGGAGGGGGGCCCAGAACGTTTTTCATCCGAGTGTTCACTTTCCCCGTCATCCGCACCCGTGTAACTCCTGCAAATACGATCCCGAATCCCGCTGACATGTTTAACTGACCGAAAACTATTATAACGTTAAGAGCTCAATTTCGTACGTAAGCATGTCCCAATAAGTTACTCGCGTTTGATTTCCAGTTGTCAAAGCCCGTCTTAAAAGGGAACGGAGATACGAGAAGAAAGACCGGGTGAATTGGTTCGTGTAGAAATAAATACGTCTATGGTACGTATACCGGAACTTGACTTGGCGCACTGCCGCGAGCTCGAATACGGAACAAAATCGAGAATATAATATGGCATACAAGACACGATAGTTGTTAAAAAAAAAAAGCAGGCGTAAAGAATAATAATATCGAGCGGCGATACCGAAATATTTTATTTTTTTCACGCGATACGGCCGCGATGACGGAACGACCGAATAAAAAAATATTGTCTAAAGCAAACGAGAAAACCGAAACGAAATACAATGACGCGCGCGCGATTAAAAGACAAGTTTATAACCGCAATTTAAAAAAGGTTTGATTGTGGAAAATCGGGGGGAGAGGAGTGGGGAAACGTACGTGTAGGTGTAGGTATTCGCTAAAGTGTTCGTTCGTACGATGCGAATCCTATACATACGTAATTTGTACGACAGAAAAAAAAAATATTTAATACAATTTATGGCAAACGGCAATATAATTAACGTGATATTTATTATTATCGTTAAAATATGCGGTTTTGTGTTCAGCAAACAAAAAATATAATACTCGTATGTTGTAAACTATGAAGTCTGTTCGGCAATAATTCGCTTGCGTTTAGAATGTTTAAATAAAAAAAATATTTAGTTTAAATAATAATAGTATATATATATATATACGTAGTGCTGCGTATGCTACTCGTCCCGTAGACCACGTTTTCCATTGTGTGTGCGTGTAAAAAAAAAAAAAAAATAAATAGTTCGAGTCATTAAAAAACTGTAACGAACGTTAAATATACGTAAACACGCATTCGCGATACGCCCAATGCCGCAGCCGGTAGCGCGCTTACAAACCGTGCCCGAACTCGGCGGCGGCGGTAACCCGGGAGTTTTCGTAGGAGGTTTCGGGAGTTCATTACAAAAAAAAAAAAACGGTAACCTGGCCGCGCGTCGAAACCCGACGACGCCGAGTCACTGCAAACCTATACAACACCTATACCGATACCGGCGTCACTGTGTACACTGTGTATATAGTGTTGTACAGAGCGAAAATCCGCCGCCGCCGCCGCGGGGGGGGGGTGGTGAGGAGCGGGTGAGCGGAAGGCGGGGTGGGTGCGGGGTAGGTTGGTATAAACCCGTATAATGTGGGTAATGCGATAAAGCGTCGGGACAAAATTCAACCTGGCCGCCGGTCGAAATCCGATACCGTGGCGCAAACCGCCCAAAACCCGGTGTAGAGAACCGCGTGACGACGACGGCGGGTCGCGCATTTACACAGTGTGTGTACCCGTTCACCGGGGTCGGGGCCGAACGGCGATACGGTTTGTAAATACGCGTGCCGGACGCACAATACGTTAACATAATAATAACAATATTATAGTAACGCGTATAGCGTACGTTCGGAATTAATTACACGCGAACACTTTGTGGACGATAATTATTTCGTAATACAACCTAACCTAACCTAACCGAACCGCGATAATCGAATACCGCGGTTGAATAACATCGGCACGGCAATGCACTACTGGAAAGACGGCGCCAACGGTCCGGTCGAATTTCCTCGGCAAATGTTTAAACGGCCCCCGGCGACGGACGCGAGACGTCACGGAATGCTGCGGCAGCTATAGTCGGGTTGGGGGGGGTTTGAAAACGTTTTCCCGTGCCCCGTTGAAATGCGTTTCCCCCTTCCACCCCCTCCCCGCCACTAACCGGACTTGCCGAAAGCCGGCGATGTACTTACGCGGCGTGTACGCGTCGCACGAACGGAAGTGCATCGTAATAATTGCATGACCGCGGCGGGGAAGATATTCGTTCGGATTTCGTCGAGTATAAAAACGTCGACCGGACGTGGAAACAACGCCGTCCCGCGGGCGATAATTATTTAAAAACTGTTTTGTTTTTTTTTTTACGATTATCTCGGTAAAAACGGCCGAACCGCACTGGCGCGGTTCAATACGTTCCGTTAATGTATTATCGCGACAAAACGGATTGTATAATATACGGCCGTTATACTATAATCTGCCGCAGATAATTTCCTTGAACGTGTACGTCTGTATTAGACACACGAGCATTTTTTTACCTTTTTATATATTAACCCCGGCCCGCTCAACCGTGCCCCCGAAAAAAACCCGCGCGTTTTCAGAGCGTAAAATGCGCGATGAACAAACGGTAAAGTGTGCGGCCCGAAATTCCGTTTGGCGCGCGCCGGGAAAATTATATTCTTCCCGTACACGGAAAGGCGCTAAAGGAACATTGCCCATACCTACAGCGGCGGGCACAATAGAGGGGCGGTAAAGGGTTTTTTCCCATCCATCGACTTCAAACTACGAAAACGTAATGCGCGTAATCCAATATCGGAATGCATACATTTCGGCCGAGTCACGGGGGGAAAAACTTAATGGGTCGATTAGAAATTGGCCATTTTTTTTTTCTCAGGCACCGGCTTTTAAATTACCGATTCCCGTGTACAGCCGAGTCGCGGGCGGAGGATTTCACCGGTTTTCCGAGGTTTTTATTCACTCCCGTCGAAAATTCCCGGGCACGCCACTGCGTATATATGCCTGCGCGATATTATTAATTATCATTAGGCCGTAATTCAACGGCACTTTGTTTTCGACGGCTGCAGCGGGTCATATAATGATAATATGATATTATAAATTACAATAATGGATTATTATGTAAAACTCGTTGGTCCGTCGCTTGTTATAATATTCTACGTGTTATATATAACAGTGTGTGTGTGTGTGTGTGTGTGCGTGCGTGCGCTTGTGTGTGTACAATGTCATCGACACTGTGCGAGAGTCACGAGAATTATTTAGTTTCGTGGGCAGAATTTACGGTTTGTTACTTCTTTGTTCATTTTTTTTTTTTTTTCCATCGTTATCGGTTAGGTCGAGACCCGTGTATAATAGTGTGTAGTGTATAACTGCAGTTCTGTCGGACGTATAGAAAAGAAAAAAAAACATGTTTGCATCACACACACACACACACACACACACAATACTTACGAGTATAAGTATAATAATATATGTACGTATGTTGTATGTAGTGTATACACTTAGTATTTTTATAATAATATTATTATTTATAATTCAATACGATACGTATACACATTACACACTGCGGTATAATCGAAACGACGAGAAAGACGATTTTTTGTCGGAACGAACACTCGTCTTTGTTATAAATAAGTTATTCGTTTTCATTATGAAATATTGAAACAATAATTAATAGGCGAACAGAGGCGGAGCGGCCGGACTGGAAACGGACATTATCCAGAAGGCCCGGGCCGTTTTACGGTCCGGTTGACTGCAGTTTTCGATTAATAACGATTTGTCGACCACGCATATTGATTCCCGTCGGTTTTCGATTCGTACGAAGGGTCCGACTGTCAATAATAATTAATTCTTTAACGCGCGTATAACTGGGTAAATCAAACCGTTTATTATACGTACATTATTACGCGATAAATTATGATGAACGTTTTTTATTTTATCAAAAACGGATTTCATTTCACATAGGCGCTCACGTTTTAGAGTTGAAGGAGTAATTTGTTCGATATTTTTGTTTGGGATATAACCAAATGCGCGAGGAGGAGAAGTCTTATTTCCGCCACTGGCTTCAAAATACAACGATTGTGGATTTTTATTTACGTCGAGTTACTAGGAAAAGCACGACCGATTGATAAAAAATAGGATTTATTTATTTTATTATTTTTTTTTTTCGTATCCGGCTTTCAAATTCCCACAGTTAGGTATGTGTAGAGCAGAACGTTCTACGATATTTTCGTGATTATTATCCGCTACGGCACATGAAAATTCTTGCGGCTCACGCCACTAGATACGACGGAATAAATTACTGTCGAATGTATATTTTATTTAATGTTTTGCAGGTGCTAACAAAATAATTTAAACGTTGGAACCGCGTGTAACGAGAACGATATTTGTTTCGGTATTTTATTGCGGGTACATAATATTACATGGGAAATGTCGGGGGCCCCGAATAAATTACAATCTCCCCGTCTGAATTCGGTTCTCACTCCGTCCCACTGCGGCTAAATACCTACTAGGTATTATATAATTATTATAATATCGTACCCCCCCCCCCCCAAAAAAAAAAAAAAAAAACAAAAAGAACTGACACAATTCAAAAAATACGATTTTCGAGTTGTATCTACCAAAATATGCACAATGTCGTCCTCTATCACGGATATAGATCTCTAAGTGCGATTCGCACTGTGCGAATCACTCACTGCGGAACCACAATAATAACACGAAATCACTCAACGAATGGTCACGAGTTAACAAATGTCAACTAATAAAACGAAATCGTTACCTTCGTGAAAAAAATAAAACATTGTTTAAACATTTAAATTTGTTCTGGTGATTTATTGCGCGATCAAAATTCCGACACGATAAGAAACAAATTACTGCTATACTGGTAATGGCGGATATGCGACTTCAAACGATCGTATAGTTAGTATGGGGAAACCTAAAAATCCGGTTTATTACCTGTACCTGTGTCCTTTACGATTATTTAGTGTACTTGCATTTTTTCATTTATTCGACATTGAAGGCTGCAGTATGCATTCAAACGACTTTATGCTTGAAATAAACAATTATAGTTTCCAGTCTAAATATTGACACTTGACTTTCTACTGACCCGACTAATGGTACTACGCTAATATTTTCCTAGCCGGAATACAATCGTGTCTCTCAAGTAAGAGTTTCGGGCGGGAAATGTATAATAGCGCATCGTGAAACATTGTAAATGTCGATTCGTATTTTGAAAATATTCGCAAAATCCAAAAAAACAAAACTCGACGGTTAATTCGGTATAACAACGTAATAAGACGTTCCTTTGGTAGAAAATAAAAAATAAAAAAAAAATACGATTTTCCGGGAGAGTTGTCCCGCCCGCGAGTAACGCACTCACGTTTTTTCTCTCCGTCCGTATTATAACATTTCGACGCGTCATAAATATAAGTCTTCCGGAAACGTTGATTTTGCGTTGCGCGTACATTTTCTTTCGTTTCCTCCCCCTCCTCCCCCCAATTAAAGCACAGAATCATGCAAAAAAAAAAAAAAAATAAAAAAAAATAAATAATAATAATAACGAGAAAAACAGTATAAGTGTCGGAAAAGCCGGTCACGAAATCGAGAGGCCGGCGCACAACACGTCGCTCGTTTCCCCATCCTTCCGCCATCTGCCCCCGGGTCTTCTTTCAAACGAGATTACGATATTATAATCTCGCCGCGAGCGTTTTCGCGATGAAAAAGCACCGGCGCCGAGTGACATTTTTCGAAAATAATAATTGTACGGCGATTGAATTACGCACGCGCCGGTCCGTATTAGGCCACCTTTAATACCTACACAACACCGTTAGTGTTGTCGAGTCGTCGTCGAGAACGCGTCTGCGTGTACGCGGTTTTTTTTTTTTTCGTGCACCGAACGAAGATCGAGCGTGTATCGTGTACGGATTTTAACGCGACCGACGAACAGCCGTCGCACTATTGTACGCGCGTGCCGTTTACTTAACCGTATTGGAAGTAAAAAATGGTAGACGCGCGGGTACTCGTCATACGAAACACGATACAATGGTAAACACGAGTGTAACATACGGCTTGTGTATTACATGGTACCGGACGTAAAACCTCAGGTAGTTGGCGTTCGAACGGATTTAAACGTTCCTAAAACGGATTTCGCACGGCCCACGAAATTATCACGGGGATAGAATTTTCGAGTACAGAAAAGAAAAAGAAATCGATTGTATTTTCGAAACGTTTTCACACGTGTATACTTGACGCGTTACTTTTAATTTTTCGAAATATTGAAATCTGTAAAACGATTTTGTCTGGTTTTTCGGTGTAAACCGTCTGTGTACATTATTCGCCTGTAAAAACACGGCCGTATCGCTCGCCTTGATTGCAGACTATCGGACTAGTGTATCAGTGGAGAATTCGTATCAATAAAATGTAAAAAAAATAATTTGTTATTTTCTTGGTGTATGTGTTATGGAGATTTTTTTTTTGCGAATCTCGATAATTTTTTAAAAAAAAAAACTCTTCTAGTTTTTCATGTTTGTTTTTTTTTGTATTTTGCATATTTTATACTTTGTTAATTAAACATAAGACTTTGACGAAACCCGCATTTTTTTTTATTTTATTCGCCTTTGTACTCTATTATCCAACTCTTATTATTTCTTTGTTCGTGTCGTTTAATCTACCTGCCGTGCCCGTCATCGCTGCAGGATACGGGGCAATTAAAATCGGCGAATGTAGTTTTAAAAAGATTCCGGGGGTTTCGACGTAGAACTTGACAGTACTTTTGTGCGGCTTATTTCAACGGTTAATAAAAAAAAAAAAAAAAAAAAAACGAATGCCTTTTGCTAGGTTTTTCCGGTAAAACATTTTTTAAACGCATTTTTTTCGTCGGTTTTAAACGTTACACACGGATCACAGTACAACCGTGTACATCCGTTGTCACGGTCTCCGCGGATGTCGGTGCGCGAAACACCGTCGCACACATGTGCGGCGCGTGATCGGATTTGTCGAACAGTTTCGAATGGGGAACAGCAACAAAAAAAAAAACAAAAAAAATAAATAAATAATAATAGTCCGCGCGCGGGCGTGCGTCAACGCGGGTTCGCGGTTTAAAAGGCGGATTCGCGCGCGTTTTAACCGGGTGACGGACGTCGAGAAACGCGATCAACTAGACGGAAAGAAAAAAAGTGTATCACGCAAACGCGTTTCATCGCGAATCCTCCGGAGTTTCGACGTTTCGCGCAGACGCCGTCAATGTCGCGCTGTTCGCTTCGCGCGCGGACGCCGCGCCCGGGGACAATTGCGGTCGCGTTCGCGCGCTTTGCCCGACGAATTCCCGGCCGGGCGCGGCGGTTTCTTTTTTGTTCCCGCCGACCGCCGACCGCGCGTTTTTTCCGACGGCCGGCGCGTTACGTTCGGACGGCGTCCGTTGATCACGTGCGAATCGGTTATAACGCTACACGCGCTCGGCTTTGTCACGTCGCGTAACGTCGTGACGAAAAACAGAGAAAAAAAACAAAAAAAAAACAAAAAAAAAAACCCGTTGGATTATCAACAGCGCACGCGTACACAATTATCGCGTTATAATAATTACGCGGGGGTTTTTTTTTCTTTTTAATACCGCGATAACGTTTCCATACGCGAAAACGACGCGCTGCCAGCTGCTGACGTTACGAGTGGATTTTTTCCTCCGTGAAATCGTCGTGTACAATATCGATTTCGTTCTCGCGATACAACACGGCCGTTCAACGAACCTATTTTCAGTGGCGCACGCAAAGAGGGCGAGTGAGGGGGATGGGTGTTACGGGGTCGACCCCGTCCACCCGAAATTTCTGCCCGCACTGTATTTTTTTTTTTTTTAAATCGAGTCTTGCGTCTAACAACACGCTATATTATATCACAGACTAAAATAAAACACCATTTCATCAAACATCATTTATTCAGTAATAACAGTGACTGCAGTACCGTGTTCTGTACTATCCCCTCTCTAGGAAATTATTACAAATAAAACCACTATGGACGAAAAAGTTCTGCGCGCGCGCTACTGTCTATTTTCACAACGTATTTCGACATGTTTCCCTTGTTCCGCACACCGTCGTATAAACTCCGCATTAACGTTTGATTGTCGAACATAGCGGACTCCTTTTTTTTTTTTTTTTTTCAAACCGGATTCGGAAAGAGAATATTTTCCGAAAGATTTATCACACGCATACGACATACTCGTCTTCATATCTGATATTATGGTGTTATGCATGT